AAAAACTCACATTAGTTTCATTGTTAAACAAATTTCCTAATTGTTTATACAATGTTAAACATATTTCCTAATGATTTATGCTTTTTGAAAACCAGTAGATGATGATGAACCACAAAACAAATATATATTCACAAATTATGACTGCTTAATCAATTTACTAAGTTTCAGTAGACAAAAACTTCTTAAATATGTTCAAAAATATTTATTAGCATAAAATTAAGATAAATTATATAAACAAATTTACATACAAAAATAATAAAACTAAAATTATAAACATACTTACATAAATAATTATGTTTAACGACAATAAAACAATAGCTTAAAATTCAAGCTGTCAGTTAATAAAATTTTTTTTTTTCGTAAGTTTTTGTCTTAAAGAAAATTAAAACATACAAAATATATAACAACTATTATAAAGAAAAAGGCAAAATTAACTTTAAATAAATACAGACATTTCGAAATAAAAGTGAAAGTTTTTCCAGCACCAAGAGCAAGCAAACGAACAGCAGCACCAGCAGTTGAATAAAGTTACAGCTGAGACGGCAAAAAAAAAATACTCATAAAACACCAGAAAAAAAGCAAAAAAAACTACTACTACAGAAAAAAAAAACAATCAAAATAAAACAAAAGCAAACATTTTTAAAAACAATTTAAACAAAAATTGAAATCGAAATTAAAATAAATATTCATACTCACATATAAAAAAAAAGAAATAACTAACACTTTAAGTCATACACAAAAATCAAATAAACCCAATAGACAGATAGATATGTATATTCGAAAATGCATAAACACTTCATATACATACATCTATCTATGTAGGTATGTATCTATCTAACCACAAACCAAACAATAACAATAATAGCAATAATAATAAATTATACAACAATATTTTGTTTACCTCTTCTTATTTAAGAAACAAATAATCGCTTTAAGTCTTTCGGTTTGTTCATTTGATGGCTTTAATGCCGAAATAATAATTGTGGAAACAAAATTATAAAACAAAAGTAAAAGGTTTTACAATAGATATTATTCGTCTTTTGAATTTATTTTCTTGGAATAAGTTAACCAAACAAAAAAAAAAATAACAACTAAATTCGTATTTAATGTTTGCCAAATGGAGTATGTATTGAGCTTTTGATGAGGTATATACAAATGATTCACATGATTTCAAAAAACTCAACGACAAACCGCACTAAAGTGTTTAATGGGGTATTATTGTTTATTTTTTTAGTTTACAGTGGGGAGTAAACAAAATTGTTTTTTGACTTTTTATTGGCTAAATATCAGACAATTATGAGAACTTCTAAGCTTTTCAAAATTATCGAATTATGAATCAATATTTTTTTAACTATATAAATAAGATTTATAGGAACCGAAATGTCTATATAAAGTTTTATGAAGATCGGTTCATAATTAAAATTTTTAAGATTTTCTCCAAAAAATGACTTTAACGCTCATTACTGTTTTAAAAATAGCTGTATATACCGATAAAATTCGCCACAACTAAAATTTTATGAGGTCCATAATTGACTTTACCTCCTATAAAAGACCTGTTACAAAAAATCAGTTTATTGTCAATAATTCCTTCCATAAATTTGACATAATGATAAAATTTGAGAAAAATTATTTGTTTTTGATAATTTTTAAAAAAATATCCTATTTCGAGAATCACTCTGATATATATTTTCCGAAATGCCCTCTAAATTTAACCCTGTGTCTAGATTTGATACATTTTTGTTATGCTAAACATCAAATTGTTATCAAGATAAAAAATTATCCGGTATAGGCCGCATCATTTTGTTTCTCCTAAGCATTGATATCAACAAACAATTAACAGTTGTCCCACGATAAAAATATCCTATTCCGAGAATCACTCTGATATATATTTTCCGAAATGCACTCTAAATTTAACCCTGTGTCTAGATTTGATACATTTTTGTTATGCTGAACGTCAAATTGTTAGCATGATAAAAAATTATCCGGTATAGGCCGCATCATTTTGTTTCTCGTAAGCATTGATATAAACAAACAATTGACAGTTGTCCCACGATAAATATTTTTCAAATCTAGACACTGCCTATATTCTACTTGTTAAAATTTATTATGACATCTGAAACTCTTAACTAATGGATTTGTCCTTTGTTATACAATATTCATTTAAATTTATTCCAACACGATTTTATAACTGAACCAAATATTTGACCCAATACGAAATATACTTAAATTTATTAAAATTAAATTATTTTGGAATATATTTCTGCTTGGTGAAAAGTTATCTCGTATTTTATTTGTTTATAAGGGTTCTATTAAACCTAAAAATTTATAAATGATCTAAATTTGACAAAATGGTATTTTAGAAATACATTTGAAACTCACTGTACATTTGAATAACAACAGCTGATCATTGTAAAGAGCTTTATACACATATTTTTTTTTGCTGGTCTTTTGTTTGTATATTTTTTCCCAAACAAAATGAAAACAATTATTTTTATTTGTAGTGTATACAAATATCGCGTCATAGCGCCTGAAAAACAAAACCAACAACAAATTTAAAAAAACAATGACTAGCATTTTAACAAGCATGGCACTATGCAATTGCAAATTCATATCTTAAAGGGGTCTGTCTCCCCATCTCTCTCACTTTTATGTTTTGCTAAAACACTTACTTTTCAAGTAACAGTTTGATATTTAAGTTTATTTGTTTTTGTTTTGGTTTCTTTTTTGCATAAACATACAAAATACAATAACAAAACTATCATTGATTAACACTGTCGTTTTCATTTGTAGTATTGAGTTGTTGTTGCTGTTGTATTTACTCATATCGAAGAAAAAACAGGTTACTGTTGTAGTTTTTATTTGTAAATAATAGTAGTAGTAGTGTTTTTGTTATGATCAACAAGAAAAAAATACTACTTACTATAGTAAAGACAACAGGTTTTTGGATTAGTTTAATATTGATTTGATTTGCTATATGTGCTAGAGTATAAGTAGTGTGAGCATGATTTGCATGTTGCTCTACTAGCACCTTACCAACTACACAACTCATACACTTGCTGTGCTTACCCCCACCATCTATGTATCCAAATGTCTTTATGTATGTTTCTCAATATGTGTTTAGTTCTTTCTTTACTATGGAAATTATCTGTTTGCGAAAGAGCATGCAAAACTTTTTTTGTTTATTTTTAATTTCATTAAAAATCGTGTCCAATTTTTTAAAGTTAAACTTTTAAAAGTGACAATTTACTACGATGCGTTTACTGATTTGTTTTTATTTTGTTTTTTATTTCGAAATCTGTTAAGTGATTGTTGTTTTTGTTATTGTTTTTTGCTTTCAGTTTTGTAAATTTTAGTGACACGGAAGTAATTTGTGGGTTACTTTCACCATATGTTAGTTTTATAAGTATGTACCTTAAAAACAATTTACACCACCTTGAAATTAGCAACAAACTAACATCATTGCAAGAATTGCAATTTTTTCTACAACTTGTATTTTTATTTTATATAAAACTAGCTATGCCCAGTGTGATTTGCTACCCTAAAAGCAATTTAAATAAAAAATCTTCTTAATAATTTTGAAGATTCTAACTGTAATGTTTTCCAGAGATACATTTTTTCCGAACGTTAATTAAGATTTTAATGTAATCGATGACAAATTAAAAAAAAAAATCTAATATTTTTCCGGATATACGAAATTTTGTATTTAATTCATATAGGGGGTGCCAGGACCCCATTGAAAGTCCGCCCGTTATTCTCTAAATGTTCACATTAATGTCAAAGATCTTCATGTAGAATTTGCCGATTCTAGCTCTAATAGTTTCTCAGATTTACGAATTTTTCTATTTAATTCATATGGGAACTCACAGCCCCCAGATGAAAGTCCGCCCTTTTTTTCTCCAAAATGTTCATATGTATAATAAAGTACTTCTTGCAATATTTGAAGAATCTTGTTCTATTAGTTTCCCAGATAAGCGAAATTTTGTATTTAATTCATATGTGAGGTGCCAAGCCCCCCCTTGAAAGTCCGCCCGTTATTCTCTGAATGTTCACATGAATGTCAAAGTTCTTCAATTAAAATTTGAAGATTCTAGCTCTAATAGTTTCTCAGATATAATAATTTTCCTATTTAATTTATATGGGGGCTCCAAGCCCCCCATGACGAAAGTCCCCTTTTTTTTCTCCAAAATGTTCAGATGAATATTTAAGTTCTTAGTGCAAAATTTGAAGAATTTAGTTCTATTAGTTTCCCAGATAAACCAATTTTTATATTTTATTAATATGGGAGGTGCTGCTCCCCTCATGGGTAGTCCACCAATTTATTTCCCAAAATGTTTACATGGATGTTAAAGTTACTCGTGCAAATTTTTAATATTCTAACTGTAATAGTTTCCAAGATAAACGAATTTTTGTATTTAATTTATATCGGAGGTGCCACACCCCCTAATGCTAATCCGCCCACTTTTTGTCTTAAATAATTATATTGATACTAAAGTTGCTCCGACAAAATTTGAAGACTAACTATTATATTATCTCAGATATACTAATTTAATATTTTCTTAATGTGGGCGTGGCACGTCGCCCACATGAAATTTCAACATAAAAAGTAGCCTATAGTTCCTTCCAGACATACAGGAAGAAACTGTGAAAATTTCAGGAAAATCGGTCCAGCCGTTTAGCAGTCTATAAAGCACAAATATACATACATACAAACACACTTTCATTTATATATATATAGATTAAGGAAGAGGGCACCTCAGAACTCATTTATTTGTACAAATGCTTCTTATTTTCTTTTCATTGAGAGCTATACAGGATTTTGGATGTTGCAAAGACGCAATAGTTAAAAATGTTAGATTTCCAATTTCATATACATATATCATATATTTTGTGACTTTTGGTAGAAAAAAGTATTTCGATATGGAAAATGTTCCCTTTGATAAAAAAAATATTCTAGAATAAAAGTTCCATACTAATTAAAATTCGTTTAAATTTATTTTTAGTTTCTGTAACACCACCACCTCAGCGGCCATGGATACCATTGGCGAAGCCTAACAAAACCAGACCAGCCTGTAAGTATCTCTAAGATAGTTCTTCATTATATATTTTTTTAACTTTTGAAATTTTTAATTCTTTTATAGGCATTTTTACCGTCATGTGTTACAATGTTCTATGCGATAAATATGCCACCCGTCAAATGTATGGCTATTGTCCGTCATGGGCTCTTAGCTGGGAGTACAGGAAAAAAGCCATACTCGATGAGATACGTCATTATTCGGCTGATATAATAAGTTTACAAGAAATTGAAACGGAACAGTTTTATAATTTCTTTTTACCCGAATTAAAGAATGATGGTTATGAGGGCATATTCTCACCCAAGTCAAGAGCCAAGACAATGTCTGAAATGGAACGTAAATATGTTGATGGTTGCGCTATTTTCTTTAGAGCCTCAAAGTATGCAATACATTTTGATTTTGTTTTACTAGTGGATTGTAATGTTTCATATTTTGTTTTCCTATAGATTTTCTCTTATTAAAGAACACTTAATTGAATTCAATCAATTAGCAATGGCCAACGCAGAGGGTTCAGACAACATGTTGAATCGTGTTATGCCCAAGGACAACATCGGTTTAGCTGCTTTACTTAAAGTCAAAGAAACTGCCTGGGATCCTATTACCGAAGTTACACAGATATCTCAAGCTCTCTTAGTGTGCACTGCTCACATTCATTGGGATCCGGAATTTTGTGATGTCAAACTTATACAGACCATGATGTTAAGCAATGAATTAAAATCAATTATAGACGAGGCTAGTCACAGTTTTAGGCCTGGCCATAAGAATGACTCAAATAGTGTACAACTATTGTTGTGTGGTGATTTTAATTCTTTGCCTGATTCTGGTGTTATTGAGTTTTTGAGCAAAGGACGCGTTCACATGGATCATTGTGACTTCAAGGATATGGGCTATAAGGCCTGTCTACAACGTTTACTCTCGAATGACACCAGTGAGTTTACGCATTCCTTTAAGCTGGCCTCCGCCTACAGTGAAGACATAATGCCGCACACTAACTATACGTTCGACTTTAAGGGCATTATCGATTATATATTCTATACCAAAACAGGCATGGTACCGTTGGGCCTTTTGGGTCCCATCTCCAACGAATGGTTGCGAGAAAATAAAGTCGTGGGTTGTCCTCACCCACATATACCCTCCGATCATTTTCCATTGCTGGTGGAATTGGAACTTATGCATACGGCTAGCCAACAAGCCCCACCAAATGGCCTCATTAGTAGACGGTAGCAATAAAACGTCCGTACAAAGACAACGTCATCCCAAAGAAACCTCTTAATATCTCTACTATTACTACTACTGATGCTGCTGCTACTACTACTACAACTGTGTTTAGAGTTAAGAAGAAGGAGGAGAAGAAGAAGGAGTAGGAGAAGAGGTTTTCATATAATTTATTATGCTGCCGTTGTCAAAATACAAAATAAAACTATTGTCTTAGTTGTCGTCGTCGCCGTCATAGTTGTCATCATCGTCGCCACATCGGTAGTATCTGTCGTCGTCGTTGTCTTCATCATACAAACAGCAACAACAACAACAACAAAAACAAATACAACCACCAACACAAGGACCACAAGAACAATCTTCAACAAACTGATGTCATGATCATGAATGAATTATTTATTTCTTAAGTTTTACAACAAATTCAACACAACAACAAAAACAACTAATAAGTAGAAATTATTTCTTTTTTTTAATTTTAATGCTTCATACTTCATCCAGCTATTCAAAAACTCTTTTAATTAAATATTATTAACTTAGTTTCTGATTTTATAGCTTCTTATTCTTACTTTTTCTTGCAAAATAATCACACTGTATGTATGTCTCTGTATGTCTTTTTCTTTCAAAATTTAAATTAAATTGTATAAAATTAACTACTCCCTTGAGAAAAGATGAGTTTGAGATTTGTATGTTTGTAGTTCAAATACACAAATTTTTTAGTAACATTAGTTAAATACATAAAATAAATTCGAAGTTGATTTTCGAATTTTTCGTTTCTTTTTTTTTTTTAACGATTTTAAAGAAAGTGAAAAAGAAACCTATTTGTATGATTTGCGTACAATATCTTGTAGTTTAACATCTAAAATTATTATTTCAGATTTAAAGTTCGAGCTAACAAAGTTGAGATGTTTAATATTTTTATTAAAATAAGTTTTTAAACAAAATAATGTTACAGATTTGATTTTCATTTATACTTAATAATATATATTTTTTCTACCCATTTTAATTTTTAATAAAGAAGCACTTTTAATTAGTTTAAACTTTCCCTTCTCTCTTAAACTCATCTTTTTTTATATACTGCAATATTTCTACAATATTTTTCTTAACCAATTTCTTCTATTTCACAACTATTACAATAATTTTACTCTAATTATAATTGTTTTAATTTTGCCTGTATACACATATTCATAAATATAACGCAATATACACTTTCTTTTCGACAAGCGTTCATAAAACAACGTTAAATATCAATACCAAACTAATTGAAAATCAAGTTAACTTCCCATTAAAACAATTCAAAGTATAAAAGAACAACTTAACCTGACACGCACACGTTTTATTTTATTTTTTTTTTATAATTTTTAAATGGAATATTTGATTTTTCAAAAGTTACAGATACTTCTTAACAATTGCTTGGCTTATCTTACAAATATTTTTTATTATAAATTTTCTTCTTTAATTTTAAAATATTTTCTTTTAAAAGAAAGTTTAAAAAATTATTGTAATATTAAGTTTTAAAATAGTAATCATATATGCACCCACATTTATATTAATTTACATAATTATTTTTTTTTTAATTTTAAAAAACTGTAATTTATAATAATTTGTTTAAAATAGTTGGTTTTTTTAAAGAAACACAAAGACATTATTTTGTATACAACCTACAACAAACACTATCCCTTACTCTTTGTTTCCCAAAACCTTTCCCTCTTCCTTCTTTCACCCACTCTCATACAATATTGTTTCTTAATATTTTTTTAGTTTTTAAGTAATAAATAATTTATACATTGTAAAATATGCACTTTAAACAAAAACTTAACAAATTTATAGAAAATATATCATAAGATCTATAAAGAATCAATCACAACAACAACAAAAAAGAAACGTCTCTTAACATTAAAAATTAAAAACTCAAACAAAAAAACAAGCATTAAAAAATTTTAAAAATTTTGTTTTATTCATTATTTTTTTTTTAACAACTAACTTTCAAAAAAGTTTTCATTTTAAGGATTTAGTTTTGGTTGTTTTCCTCTTCTAGCATATTAAAAATAAAGTAAAAAAACAAAATCATATAAAAAATTTTAGCGTATTTTTATATAGTATTACAAATAAATAAAGAAAAAAACGTTAAATATGAAAAAGTTTAATAAAATAAAAACAAAATTCGATTAATATAAACAAAAATAAATTATCAAATTTAAAAACAAAAAAAGTAATAACAATTAAAAGAAATACGACTTTAAATATATAATTCTATATTGGCAATGTTAATCGTAATTATTAATTAATAACAAAGAAATTGCTGGGCTATTTTGTTAAACAAGCGATACAAACAATTTTACCAAAAAATATAGATGTTTGCCGAATCTTATATTGCTAATTTACTATTAAAGTGGCATAACTTCAAATTCGAAAATTTTATAAAGAAAAGGCATCTTCGCGCTGTTATAACCCACAGTGGTATGTAAATAAAAAGAGAGGGAAATAATTCTGTAAAGAGGAAGTGTTGACGAGTTTAGGTAGTCCGAGGTCCGCAAAATAGGACATTATAAATTTTCAACGTTTTTACCGACCCTACTCAAGTTTTTTAATATCAGAGGGTCCAACTGTTTCCCGATTTTCTTCGTTTTTCTTTTTTTTTTTTTTAACAAATTGATTTCTATTTTTTGATACCGAGGGGACCAGGTGCATGTCAAAAAGGCATATTATTATCTAAAATTCAAATTTAGGGCAAAAAATCTCAAATCGCATAGTCGATATCCAATAATAGTAACCTTTTTTAAATGGCCCAATATGATTTCGATGACCCCGCGCCTGGTATTATGGCCAAAAAATTAAAAAAAAAAAATTGGGAATTTTCAAAACTTTTTTGGGAATTAAGGGATTCGTGATAACAAATTTCATTCTCAATGAAAAAATCTATATAACTGTAAATTTTCGTTAACAATTTTTTTAAAATTGTCCATAAATTTCTGAATTGATAAAAAATTTATGAATTTCTGAAAAGTAGATTTAATTTCCAATCAATTGATATATAAAACGTATACGTTTTAGGAGGAAATATTTGACATTTCATGGTAAAACTCAACTAAAGGTCAACACTTCATCTTTACGTATGTGAAATTTCATTAGAATTGGAAAAAGAAGTTACAGAATTATTTATTATAACAAATTTTTAAGTTGGGTTTTACTTATGAATAGGCAAAACTAACTAAGTTACTGGTTAAAGGTGCGAAAACCGTTTTTTTTAACCCGTATCACAAGATTTTGGAGGTGTTTGGAAAATTTCATAAACATTATTGTACTTGGAAGCACCTTTCAAACAAATAGTGTCCCCTATTCTGCATTTTGATTATGTTTTCGCATTCAGTTACGTTACGCTCGAAAATTGGTATTCCAACAAAAAAACGGAATCGTATGAAAAAGAAGAAGCAATTCCATATTCGTTTCGAATTTTGTAAGTTATTATTTTAGTGACGGAGCTTCGAATCGAAATGCAGAATACCAAAGTTGTCAAACGGAGAAATTTTCGATTCGAATTGAAATGCAGAATAGGGGTGAGTATCACTTCCTAGATATTTATTTTTGTCGCATAGTGTTATCGACTAAACTGCCTTTTTTTCAAAAATCAATGGCCACTGTAAAATTAAATATATATGTATATTTTTTAAATTTATTGAAACTCGCTATTTATGAGGACTTATTTAGCAATATTTTATAATTTCTAACGAATTCCAGAAAATAGATGAAAAATTAATAAAAATCAAAATTTTAAACATGAAATGCAATTTAAAATCAAAATTCTATATTAAAAAAAAAAATAATATATCTTTTACTAAAGATTATTATGGAATTAGTTTAACTTTCAGATAATAACTTATCGTGTAGTTTATATACAAATTACTAGTCCCATAAAGTTCGAGATTTTTTTTTAGTTTTAATTTAATTTAACAACTGTATCGTTTGTTTTTCAAAAATCAGCATTAAGTCAGCAACTTTCTTTTTTAATTTTATCTATCTGCAATATGTGTGTAAAATTATTAAACAAATATAAAAATTGGCTTTTTAACTAATATGTTAACTAGAATATTAGACAATGTTTACAAAGCGTTCTTTTAAAAAAAAAATATTTTCCGTCCAAGTTGACTGGCCGGCACTTTAAGTAATTCGTTAGTCTCGAAATTGTAATTATCTTTAAACAACAATCATCAACATTTTGCCACAACAACAATCAACATATTAATTCATCAAGCAACATACGGTGAAAATTCTGTATTCATATTCAGTTATAAATTTAAAATTGGTATGTACATTTTTTTTATTTTATTTACATTTTTATTTTATATTTATTTTTTTATTGAAATTGAAAGCCGGTTTCTTTAAAAAACTAAATTTTGTTATGTTTATATTAAATAAATGCGAGTAATTATTATTACATATTTTTAATATAAATATATGAAAAAAACTTTCGTATTTGGAGGAACTGGCTCTTAATCTCAAAATATGTTAAATATAAAATTTTGATTATTTTTATATAAAATTTAAATTAATGTTTTCATAAAAACTTTTATGTAAATTTTAAAAGAAAATTTATTACTTTATGAATAGAAAACTTACTATTAGACAGAGCTGTAAATGAATCATTCATTCAATTATTCCTGCGATTCAATTAGCAAATTTTGAATTAATTCGCGAATTATTCATGCAATTCAATGAGCAAATTTTGAATTAATTGTATTCAAAACAAAAATGAATTGAATGAAATGAAATTTGAATCAATTCAAATGAATTTGTTAAAAATGAATTGCAATTCATTTCAAACTCAAATGAATTGTAATTCGTTTCCAATTCAAATGAATTGCAATTCGTTTATAATTCAAATGAATTTGTCGAAATGAAATGCAATTCAATTCACTAGAATTCATTAATTTTTACCAAATTAATTTGAATTGGCTCAAATTTCAATTTTTATTTCTTCTTTTCAGTGTGAATTGGTTGTCAGTTGAAAATTTTTGAATGCGTTTTTTAGATAATGTACATACATACATAGCATATTAGCATATTTATGAAACACAATTGTGTTTTGAACATTTTTTTGGATAAATTTCCATGTTTTAGCTCTTGAATTTGATTGATTGCAATTCATTATTCATTTGAATGAATTCAATATCAATTCAAATGAATTGGAAATAAATTGCAATTCACTCTAACAAATTCATTTGAATTGGAAATTCATTTTATAAAATCATTTGTATTGAAAACAAATTGAAATTCATTTCTGCCCAATTCGTTAGAATTAATTCCAAACCAATTAAAATCAAAAAAGAATGATTCAATTACAACTCTGCTATTAGAGCTTTTTATACCCTAAACAACTTTAATGGAGAGGTTGGCTGGCTGTCCATGTAAACCTTGTGTGAAATTTGGTACACAATATGGCGAAGCCTATTAAAAATGGTTAAAATCAGCCTATTATTTCACCTAGCCCCCATACAACTGAACCCCCGAAAAGGGCCTTTGAGCTCATAATTATGTTAAATATAGCTGTATCGATAAAAAGCAGCACAAATAAGTTTTATATAAGCCTTGATGACCTTGCCAAATTTCATAAAAATCGGGCCTCATTTGAACCTAGCTCCCATACAAAGTCCTCTTCAGAAATGTCCAAAATTCATATATAAACAAAAAAAAAAATAGTTTATCGTCCATAAATTGCATAAATGTACCGGAAACAAGATTATATCGGCCACGCCCGAATATACTGTCTTACTTGTTAGTTATAGAAAATTTCGAAAGTACCATTTGAAGAGTGAAAAAGTACTATAAACTACATCTTATAGATTCTCATACAATCAAAAATGTTATGTATCTATGTTCAATTATATAGAAAACTCAAAAAGTGTCAGTTGAAGAACGAAAAAGTACCCTCTTAAAAATTCTTATTCAGTCAGGAACCTGCATGTTAAAATTTTCCTTTCTATGTTCAATATTATAGTACCATTTGGGAAAATCTCTTTAAATTTTCAAAAAAGTACCATTTGAAAAAAGAAAAAGTACAAAAGAGTCCCCCCGATTAAATCAAGTTAAGTTTTATGTTTACAGATTCAATATTTCAAAAAATACAAAAAGTACTTTATAGAATCTTATTCTACCAAGGCCTGGTCTATATTAATATTGTTAAAATTCAAAAAAAAAAAAATTAGACTAGAACGATGTGGAAAACATTTTTTTCTTTGTGAAAAGTTTTAATAAAAATAGTACCTTTTTTCGCTCAGGAATAGACTTTTCGAAAATTAAGTTTGCAAATTACTCCGTATTTAAATCTGTACGTAGCACTGGTAAAACACAAACGATACAAAATCAAATTTTTAGTAAAAATATTAATTTTTATTAAAAAATCATATTTTTGTGAAAAATCAAAATTTAAGTGTAAAATCAAGTTTTTAGTAAAAAAAGTTCGTTTTAATAAAATGTCATGTTTTTGTGAAAAATCTATTTTTTAGTACAATTGTAATTTTTAATCACTTATCCATTTTCCAGTGAGAAAAATTAAAAAAAAACGGACAATGAAATTTTCAGTCAAAAATTAAATTTTTGAAATAAAAAAATTTGAATTATATTGAAATGTCGTTTTTTTTTTTTTTTGCAAATCTACTAGAGTTTCATTGAATAATTTCTTCCAGGCTATTCCCCACCCATTAGAAATTATCGGTTTCCTAATAAAAATCATTTCTTCAAATAATATTGTTTTTATTTTCCGTAACCTTTTTCTTTAATTTCATTATTTTTTTTATCGATTTTTTTGCATTTCCAAAATTTCGAGATCGCTATACATACTTACAATTAAAACTCAAAGTGCACGATTGAAATGCATTGTAAATATTGTCTATTTTAAAAAATACAATTAATTATAAAACATTTTAAAAAGAAAACCCCGTTAAATATTTTCAAGTAATTTTTATTCTTTATTAAAATAAGGAGACGAAACTTAAAAAAAATACAAAATAATTTATCTTTCTGTTCACATTTTGATTTAAACAAAAGTATTGTAGTTTACAAACAAACAAAATACGTTTACAAAAATAAAAAGTATATATTAAAATAAATAAAAAATGAAATAATAAATTAAGTACAAATTAGTTTTCTTTCTCGTCAAACAAAAAAGTTATGTGAAAATGAGTAAAACATTTAAACAAATTAAAAAAAATATATTACGGCGATTGAATATTCTTATAAATTGAAACTTTTTTTATTACTTATGCTATTATTAAAAAAAATATCGTTTATGCTTAAATCTTTGGTTATACGAAATTACGCCTCTATGGGAAATTTGGGACCCATGGCATTTTGTTGTAATAATTTCTCTTGAATTTGCAACCATGTACTGCTACATTGACTTAGCAGCTGTAGATTTCCAATGATATACATGCCATGTTTGGCACGTGACAATGCTACACATATACGATTTGTTTGCTTTAGAAAACCAATTTGTGGTATTGTATTATTGCGTACTAATGAAAGCAATATAATATTACATTCCAGGCCTTGGAAACTATCCACGGTAGACGCCTTTAAGTTGTAAAGAGAGGGATATTTTTGCAACTGAAAGAGTTAAAAACAATATTCTATTAGTTTCTTTAAAAATATGTACGGCTTGCTAAACTATATTTCAGAAAATTCATATCATATTTAAAATGTATCTGAACAGGATTTCGAATGCAAATTGTTTTAGAAAAGTAAAGGGTCCTAAATACACTTTATATCTGTAGAATTTGTAGAATTTTCTGAAATAGTTTTTTAATACGAATCAATTCTCTTACCTGCTTTCTAATTAAATCAACCTGTTTGGCATAAGGACTTAATATGTGTATGTCCTCTGCAGCGTAATCAGCATTCTCAATTAAATGCAATGACAAATTAATAATTTCCTCAACTTCATAGGGATTATACAGTGATGAATCATATTGGGTTTTTGCCTCTTTTATATTGTGAGTCATAAAAAAGAGATTTGTTGACATTTTACGTATGGCTGGATATTGTGTAACCGATTCATCACTATTCAAATCTTTATAAATTGTATTACACAAGAGATCAGCTATTTTTGGATGCATACGATATTGAGTTTTCAATTGTATGGGTTCGGTTTGTTTGGTAAATATCCTTTCAAATAATGAAATATTCATGTGAGAATATTGTTGGAGTTGATAGCTAGAGCTATAGGGTTGCAGTTGTTGATGATCACCAATCATTATAACATGTTGCGTGTAGGGTGTTAAGCAGGCCACAACATGAGATTCCAAAATTTCGGCTGCTTCTTCAAAAATAACGATTTTGCTTTTCAGCAAACGAAATAGAAAATTGGTTTTGGCCGCACAAGTGGTGGTCAGGGCAATTATTGATTTCTCTTTGGCCACATAGTACTGGAACATAATTCTAATTGTTTGCAATTTTTCAGTAACCTCGGCCAATTCGCGCTGGGCCTTTAAAATCTCTTGATAGGTATCGTCTGTACCATCGAATTCTTTGTGTTTTAATTGTAAATTTTGAAATTTAGTTTTAAATTCTATATTAATCAAATAATACAGTCTCTTTAATTTGGGATTAATTTGTGAATGTTCCACCACATCTTTAATATTATATTTAGCTATAGCCGGATCTCTAGATTGACTGCCGAATCTTACTATTTTATCTGTATACTCAGATATCTTGATTAAAAATTTATCCAAAGATTCATTGGTGTAGGTTATTAAAACCAAAGGTGTTTCAGCATTTTCTATTAGAGTTTTTACCATTTGTACTGAAAGATAAGTTTTACCTGTACCCGGCGGACCTTGTATAAGAGTAAACTCTTGTTTAAAAGCCTTTCCGAAAGCTTGCAATTGTGAATCATTTAATCCTAGAACATTTTGTGGTGGTTCTTCTTTTAGAGGTTTGAATGTTTGTCCATAACATTGGTAAACTGTATTTTCATTTAAATATGTGGGTATTTTGTCTTGAGGATTTTCCATGTCCACTATATAGTTCTTCATGGGAAAATTGGTTATGGTGCAATTTTTCAAATAGTTGAAAACATTGTGATAGGGCTCAAAAAATGCCGGTGTCTCAAACATCAACAATTTACGATTGTAAATGTTGCCAATATTGTACTGGCGTACGATTTCAATACCAATCTGAAAGTTGTAAAAATTGTGATTAGAATTCCTGGATGATTTTAAAAACTAAAAATTATTTTTTAATACTTACGAATCCTTCCTTCATACACTCATGACTAGTGTACGTTACTGTGGCCAATATTAGATTGTCAAAATTATAACTTGTGCTAAAGCATAACAGAGCTCCCGATTTGATTTTACGTAGCTTTTCCTGCAATTGATACGGCATTTGCACATCCTCCGTATCCATATTTCTGCGTGAACCTAAAACATCTACGAATACCAATTCATGGCGATAGGCATCCAAAAATTGTTCATTTAAAACAATTAGAACATTTTCATAAACATAAAAATTATCTGGTAATTCGGTGGTACTACGTTTGTTTTTCAATAAACCAACACAATCTTTAAGGGGCAAGAGAAAGTCTTGTTTGAGAAACCCCAGATGTTTTGATAGGTATTCTTGAACACTTTGTTGTGAAGAGGATTGATTATTAATTTCGAGGTCATTGTTAAGGGATTGTGATTGGCCTTTTGTTAAATCCTCCAAGGTGGGGAATATATCCAGAGTATCTTCAGTTTTTTCACGTTGTTTTAAGGCTTGCTCCAGATTTTCCTTTAGCTGTAAAACAATGTTTTTCTTTTTAATGGACACATTATCCGTTTGCTCCAAAATGTTTAGCAGATCCTTTAGCAGTAAATTTCCTTCTTCTTCCTTACAAAACAATTTAAAAGATTGTAATACCAATAATTCCATATTGTTTATAAACTGTAGCATTTCTTCTTCCTTTAACCACATATCCTTGAAACGTTTACACATTAGTTTAGCCACGAGTAAACGATATTGTTCATGCAGGTTGCTATTGAGACTAAAACTCTTTAACACATCCTTATGAAAACCTGGCAATTCTAGACGACAAATTGTAGCCAAAACGCTAGTATAAAGTATAATTTTTTCCTGACTATCATTTAAATAAATTTGATCCATGAAGAAATCATACTCCAATGTTGTTGTGTATAAGAAAATATCCAGTGGAGTCATTGTGGATAATTTTCTTAGGTCCGTTATTTTAATTTTGTTCTTCTTGGCATCTCCCTTGTTGTGGGCAGCTGCTTTTAGGGTTAATTCTTTGATATAATCATCTGTAATGGGAAAATGTTTAGTTATTTTTTACGGTAATTTCCAAAAAAGAAAAAAATGTCTACGTTTCACCTAAAGTATTTGTTGTTGTCTTTATATATTCGGTATTTGCTTGCTGTTTGGTTTTTACAGTTTTCTGCACATCTTTGAAAAGTTCTTCGTCATCCTTGTCAAACCAATCACAATCGGAGTCGGACATTTTGGAGATTAATAAATTTTTTCAGTTCTATTATAATAATACTGCAATAAACGATTTTCCCGGAGGACTTTTAGTTTTTGTTTTGATTCTTAGTTTCTCTTTGGTTTTACATTTTGTGCTGGCAATGCTTTTTTGCAACAGCTGTTGAAAGCAGTGTTGCCAATTCAATGGCTTTTTAGAGTATTTTGAACTTTTTATTTTCCTTATACAAAATATTCGAAAAAATCGGGAAATACAGTAATTTTTAAACACATATGTAAATTTTAAAAAAATACTTATTAAGTGTAATTATTTGACATACATACATATACATATACAATTATTTCTATACAAGTCAGAGATAAAAGGGCTTTCTATAAGTTTTCAATTTAATAATTCTTACAACCAGTTTAATTAATATGAAGGCTATTTAAGATTCTGCAGTCTTAGATTTAACATTGATTTTGTTCATGTATTTGAAACAATATAGTTTGTAGAGGACCACAGTTACATATGTACATTAGGGCGGCCCCATAATGGAAGTTGATGATTTTCCCGCCAAAAATTCAAATTGATTCTTTCGAAAATACAATTTCTTTTTTTGCTTTAACTTCAATATTTGGTGATCTGGATCAACGGATTATCATTATTAAGCCACGATTTGGGATGAAGGTTGGTTTCGTAAGAAATTTGATCTAGAATGAATTTCGAAAAACAAAAAAAAAAAAAACGGTGAAATTTAATGAGGTGTACGATATACATGTTATTTATTTTAAGTTTATTACATTAAAGTTATAAAATGTAAACATTTTTGTAAAAAATTATAAAATTTTTAATTTTATAAAGATTTCAAAAATATATTGCCGATTTTAAGGCCAGTTTTGACGATTTTATGCGAATATTATCTGGCAACATGTATGCTGCCCTTATGTGTTGTTGGTGTTTCCACGAATGAAAACAAAACGGCAATAAACAAAATATTACTGCTCCCCAATTTAGTTATATTTCTCAGCTCGTGGCGTATGGACGTGAGTAGTGCTAGTGGAGGTAAATAAATACACAGTAAGAAATTGCTCACAAAACTACCACACAAGAGTAAAATAGAAGAAATAAGAATTAAAATATTTTACATACAATGAGAATGAAACAGTGATTCTAATTGGAAACGAAAAAAAAGGAAGTTGAAAAAGTGGTGGAGTGGAAGAAGACAGACGGACGACACACACAACAAAGAAATACGAATAAAAATAATAACAATAACAACACTGGCAGCAAAAGAGGAAGTGTGCTGTAATAGCAGCAGCAGCTAAACTGCACTGCCAACGTTTAGCGCATAACAAAAGATATTATTTATTAAAACAGACAAAAACAAGACTAAAATGAAGTGAATAAATGAAAGAAAGAAAGAAAAAAGCAAAAAATCCAAAAACAACGAAACTAAATCCTATAGGAAAATTAAAGGAGAAGAGACGTATTCATTTATCGATTTTCAAACGCGCAACGCAGTAGTTATAGTCAACTAAACGACGAAAGCGGTTGTGAAAAATTTTGTAAAAATACAATATTTTTTAGCAACTTAGAAAAAATTTGCAAAAATGCTAAAATTAAAACAAAACAAATTATATACTAAATAACTAAACAAAAATTCTTAAATTAGCCATAAATATAATTTAAAAACAAAATCAAAGTGATTTTTTTAAACAAACAAAAAAGTCTGCAAAAATATAGAAAAAAAAATAAGTTCAATGCAAGAGAAAAAGGCGTGTAGTAGTGTATAAGTAAAAAAGTGTGTGTAAAGAAAAAGTAAAAGTGCAAAATAGTGCAAAAAAAAAAGAAATATAAAAAGTTTAACAAATGTAAATTAAGTTTTAATAAGAAATTACAATATTTTAATAGTTTTTCCATTAAAAAATGTTTTCAAAAAAAATTTAATATAAAGTATTTTATTTTTAAAGCATCTAATTTATTGTAACCTTTCTCTCGTAGTGCTTAATTGATAACAACAACAACAATAATTGACACAAACAACAACAATAATAACATTTAATAAATACTTTTAAAAAACAACAAATAAACAAAATGTGGATACCATCAAACAACAAATACGGTGTCGGTGAGTATCATAATTATAATGATGTTTCTATTCTCTTTTAAATAAGATATACAATAAATACAACATCATTATTGTTGGCATCATTATTGTCAATAGTAAAAATAACAAGTAATTCTAAAGCGCACGATAACTAACCACATAATTATGACAAATAAGCCGACGACTAAGCGAACATTGCATCAAAAACTTCAATTTGAATTTTAACAATAAAATTCGTTTATAAATACCTACATATGTACGCATTTCTAAAAAATTTTAGAAAATTTTTGTTAATTATTATTTTAAATTTAACGCTAATCGAGCATTTTTACAAATTCACTAAAGATGAATATTTACATTGCTTAGGCAGCAAGAGCTTATAAGGTCTCTTAGTATAATGAAATGTTGGTGGAACCACAAAGATCCTATGTGGTGACCCTAGCGAGAGCCGGACGAGAAATCAAAATGAGCAAGTCTGAGTCACTAAAAATTATTATACCCTACACCACTATAGCGGGAAGGGGATTATGCCTTTGGGCTGATGTTTGTAACACCGGAAAATATTAAGTTATGTCCGTCTGTCTGTGTTCCCATGTAAACCTTTTGCGCACGCTACAGGTTGCAATTTTGATGAAATTTGGCACGTACCCCTCTTTTGATCCAAGGACGAACGCTATTGAAAATGGTTGAATAAATTATTTCAACTAGCCCCCCCCCATACAACCGCACTTTCCGATTAGGGTCTTTTAGATCATAAATACGTCAAATATAATAGGTAGTATATCTTTTCAAAATTAGTTTTTTGTCGATAAATTTATTAAATATGTTGGAACCAAGGTAAAATTCAACATAAATGCTGCATAAATGCTGTAGAGTATCATATGGTCGTCCATGTCCGATTATAGTTTCTTATACATATGGGCGGGCAATTTCACATCAAGTGACCCAACTCAAAAAAATTGATTTTGACGAAATTTGCACCAAGTGTTAGTTAGTACCATTGGATAGTAGGCCAGACACAAATTTTCAGCGCTATTGGTCTAGAACTGCCGCACTTAGAGGGGTCAAAGTTGTACATTTTGGTCATACAGGATTTTATTCAAATGAGTGTAACTTTTCACCTTTAGGTCCTAGCAAAAATTGTCTAAAGGAGTTCAGATAGTTATTTCTTCATTGTTTCCAAAATTTTTTTTTTTTTAAATTTTTAAAATTAAAAAAAAAAATTTTTTAAAGAAAAATATTTTTAATATTTAGCACTTAATTTTCCGCTATTTTTTTCAAAATAGACGTTTTTGATATTTTGTTTCTGAAATTGTCTGAGCTTTCTTTAAAACAAAAAAAGGGAGTCTTTTGAAAAACAAAATTAAAAAACTTTTTTTAAACAATAAAGAGATAGCCATCTGAACTCCTTTGGAACATTTTTGCTAGGACCAATAGGTGAAAAGTTACACTCATTTGAATAAAAATCTGTATGACCAAAAATGCACAAATTTGATCCATCTAAGTCCGGCAGTTCTAGACCGATAGCGCTGAAAATTTGGCCTACTATCCAATATAACTTTGACGTACCAGATTTGGCATAGTTGAAAGTAAACACGTAAAGACAAATATCTAACTGTCATTAGTTAATTCTAAAAATAACACATTTTAAATAAAAATTATTTTATTGTTCAGATATTTGTTATAGTAATATGAATTATATTCATGTTTTTATTATTTTTATAATTTACAAAGCATCCAATTTTTAGAATTTATATTCCATTGGTCATAATTTATTGGTATTCTACTGTATCCACTCATCATAGTACACATTTCTACAATCATTTTTTATCTATGTACATTAGTATGTATGTACATATATATTTTTACTTTTACATCAGTGTTTGCATTTTCAATACCTCCGAAGTATGTGTGTGTTTTTTTTTTTTTGCTGAATGATGCACATGTTTCTCATTTTTTCAGACTTTTGCCAATTATAATATTTATTTAGTTTTTTCCATATCACTATCTCATATCATTTATATTTCAAGAGTCTATAATAATTTAATGAGCTTCTTTTTATCTTGAAATTGAATACATATTCGTATTAATAATTTAAATTGTTTATAGTTTTTACTACTGTTTCTGTTTATTTATTAATGTTTGTTTTTATTTTTACATGCTGTTCAAACAACTACCCTTATTATAATAAATTTTAATAATTATTTTTATGATTCATATAATTTTCTTGGTCACACATTATGAATATGCATAGTAGTGAAGTTGTTTTAGAATAATTTTATCTTCCCACTAAGGTTTTTATTGCTGTGAGATAAATATACATAAATATGTACATATCTATGTAAGATCATTAGGCTGTTCCATAGATCACTTGCGAGAGAAATAAAAAAAGAAATTTGAAGAGGGCCCCAGTTCTCTGTCAGCAATTGAAAATCTTGATCTCAGTACAATATGTTCAAAAAATGTAATGCAATCTTTTCGAAATGGGTCTCAAAAATTCCTTAATTTTGAGCTTTTCTCGAGAAAAATATTTTTCTTGGTGTATTTCTGGTCCGCAAAACGACTTTTAGTGTATTGTAAGGGTCATATAAATTCGAAAAAAAAATCTAAAAAATTATGGAATGGACCAAACAAAAGGTCAAAAAAAAAAGAAAATTTCAATATTTTTTGTATAAACTAAAAATTACGACCTATTTCGATAAAAACCGAAAATAATTTACAGCCAAATATGTTTCAAATTCTTAAAAAGGCTATTTCTCGAGACACTCTAACGTACATATACATATTTATATAGCAAATATTCTATATGGGCAATTTCGTGTCAAGTGACCAAACTCAAAAAATCGATTTGGACGAAAATTGCACTACGGTTTCGGTCAAGAACTGCTGGGCTTAAATGCGGTCAAAGTTGGACATTTCGGTCATACAGGTTTTATTCTAATGAGTGTAACTTTTCACCTATTGGTTCTAGGAAAAATTACACTCATTTGAATAACACTCTGTATGACCAAAATGTCCAACTTTGACTCCCTCTAAGTCCGTCAGTTCTTGACCGATAGAGCTGAAAATTTGTGTCTTACATACTATCCAATAGTACTAACCTTTCGCCAAAAACGATTTTTTGAGTTGGGCCACTTGACATGAAATTAACCATATGTACGTATGTAAGTACTTGTATAGTTTTATAAATTAAAATAATTATATATATATGTATATATATATATATATATATATATATATATATATATATATATATATATATATATATATATATATATATATATATATATAAAACCAATAGGAACTGAAAACATTTAAAATATCATTATTGTGGACAAGTTATACTGCGATGGAATTCTCTGTTACGATCTTAATTACCCACCTCATATTAATATCATATATTGATCTTAATATGTATAAACTTGGGTAAATTATGGATTGGCATAATCAGATTTATATAAACATTGAATGACTAAAGTTTTTTGTTAAATTTATTGCAATAGTTTGAATTTTTGCCAGTTTTGGGATCGAGAAATTGTACTAGGCACTGCAACCATGACAATTCCGATCGCTTCCAAGCAGCTCCTACCTGTACTTTTAACGTATTTTGGGTCGTTGACGATTTTTTTACTAAAGTATTTAAGAGTCTAAATAGCGTTTTTTGATCGATAACGACTGTAAATATTCTAAAACTACAGAGATGTGTTGCTTGGAAGCGATTGACTTGTTTGCAGTGCCCAGTATAATTTCTCGATCCCAATCCAATAGAGATCATTCAAAATGATATGGAGCAACAAATAAAAGCATAAATCCCCAAGAATTTTTCCAATTTAAGGCCTGAAATTTAAAATTTATGTCACGAAATTTCTAGTGAGTTCTTGTGAAGATTTTGTCCAGATAGAAATGAACTATAGGAAATATTTGATGTTAAAGTTAACCGATACCATGTGTGCTAACCTCACGGCCACCACTGTATGTACATGTGCCCCTACAACCAATATTTTGATGTGTTATAAAAAGAAAGCTTTTAGTTAGCAGTGTATAACTTCTACTGATCAGCAGAAAAAAAAACAACACTTACCTATATACCCCCAGTTTCGTAGCTAGAATGATAGATATTTTTCCAAGAGCATCATCATGTTAAACATTAAATTAATCTTTAACTTCCAATTCCGCAAAAAGGGTTAATGACAAAGAAAATAAAAACGTGAAAGTCTTGCTTATTATTGTTTGGTCAGTATTGAAAATTTCTCTTGTTTTTTATATTTCTGCATCTAGCCCCAACATCATTATGACGTCTTATTTATACATATTTTTTGTTTGCCAATTTATCCACTTGAATAAACATAACAATAAGCAAAAGAAATGAAAACGAGAAGAAACATAAAACAAAAAAATAAAAAAACACAAATCAACCGACTAAAAAACATCAATTCTCTTGAATAAACACATGACACTCTTCTTGAACAACAGCCAGTTGCGCTCCAATTTGGAACAGAAAAGAAAACAAATGAAAAATTTGTTGATGGATGTGGATGCATGGATGGTACGAGGCGGAGATCGAGAAAAAAAAAAATAAATGCTATGAAAAGAAAACAAAAAGCTAAAACATTAGCGACAAGAACAAAAATAAAAGAAATGAAAACGTCAAATGGATGATAAAAAAATGACAATGAAAATACTATACGACAATTACAACAACTTTAACTTCAACAATGATACAAGAGCAATAACAATGAAGTAAGAAAGTATAGTGGGCCATGACGTGTCATATGATATCCTACACCAGTTTTGAGTATAAAATGCGATTTATTTTTCATAATAAAGCATTTATGTTGTTGTACTTTAGTTTCGATATGTTTATAAAATTTATTAATGAAAACCTAATTTTATAATGGAGAATTAATACCCAGCAATAACTCGGTAATGGTTTGTACATCCATAACCACTTACTTTTCAAAGACCCTGGTTCGTATTCTAGCTGGCTCTTTTTATTATTAAAAAAACAACTTTCTCAATAA